TTTAAATGTAAGGTCATGTTAATAAAATCAATTTTGTAAATGCTAGGTTGCTTAATGACAGTATTTTGAAATCTTTGAACAATAATTTTACGAAAGCAGTGAAAATCTGTTTGAGATCATAACTTGTCATTGACTCAGCCAACATGACTATTCAGTTCTTGTGATTATTGTGTCGCCTCAAGCAAGAGAGAGCTCCCTATTGTTAGTATGGAGTTCCTGCAATGACATGTTAAGAGAGGAACCTGTCTAAAGCAAATATAGGTATCTGTAAAGGCTAAAGGTGGAACAGACATAGTGACGAGTTAATGGACGTAATCGATTGACTTGGCTGATGCCATAGATATATCATCAGGGAAGCGCAGAAATTTGATAGATACATTGTTTCTAATTTCAATCTTCAATTTAACAATGTATTATAAATTTCTTCGCAAATCATAAAAGTTTAATTCACATTATTGTATTCGAAACAATTCACAATAAATTTAAATTCGAATTAACCATTATTCGGCTTTTTTTTTGTCAATTGTTTCCGAATAGATATTATAAACTTAAATATTTTACATTTGTATTTCTACTATTTTATGCACTTATATGAATCTCTTATATCATTATCTTTCTTCAAACTTCAGAATGTTTAAATCTTAATCATAATTTACAAACATAATTTTTTATTGTTAAAATATTTAAATATTTATTTTATAGCTTCGAAGTCAGAATATTCAGTTAAAATCGACTTCTTCAACAGAAATATTAAAATATTTAAAACATTTTCCTAATTAAAATTTTTAAATTTAATGTATTAAGGACTAAAATTTTTAATCGGAAAAAAATGTAAATTTTACTCTAAATTGAAGATCTTATTACGTTGATTTTACGATTTTAAGATATTTACTATTTGTTGCAATTTTACAATTTAATTTAATATATCACTTCTTTGGCCAACTGACTCCAGCACTTTAACAACTGAAACCTTTCACACTAACAAGATACAAGAGAAACTATTTTTTTTTCTAAGGTAAATGCGTTGCTATTCTTTCATATAAATTATAAAACTAAAGGTCATCGGGTGCGCTCTTCAAGACAGAATCGTTATTCGTCGAATAGAGAGGATTTGAATTGTTACGACAATTTAATTCACCAGCCAGAAGTTAAATTTCACAGATGTTGTTGAAGTCATTAACTAGACTGTTTGCAAAATTATATACATATTTAAGAAAGAAATACAATAAGTTAAAATGACATCTTTGATGTAAAAGACTTACAAATGAAAATTGTTATACATTATATAGTAATATATCAAGTAATAAATATTAATCAAGAAAATTTTAGATAACAAAAGCAGCAGACTAAAAATATTATAAATAAATGTTGTAAATTTAAAGAAAAAAGTATAAAAATTACTTAAAGATTTCTGTAATGTCCAATGTTTACTTGCTTAAAGAGAAGTACTGTCATATATAAATTTTTATATTAATAAGAAGCATGTAACATAGTTATAGTAAATGGCACTGTTTGCATCATTAAACGTTAATCAATGAAAAGACGATACACCGTATTCTACGCTAGTGAATCTTTCACGATCGTCATCGTATTACATAGCGCCTCGTGGCCGAGATGTGTTATGTAAGATCGTGAGTGAAGCGTGAGATTATCCCACGGAGATGATCTTCGATCTATTATGATTGCATACGTGAACTCGACTAATTACCATGTAAAAGAGTAAATAAAATGATTTTTATTATTTTAATCAGTAATCTTTAATGCGATAATTATCTAGAAAATTTCGACAGAAAATATTTATAAATAAATATTATCGTTACAAAATCGGTATATATTTTAAACATATTACATACATATTAAAATCAATAAGAGTGAATGTAATGAAAGTTATGATGAAAGTACGATAACAATTAATTTTTACATTTAGAAATATGAGATTTAAATGAAAGTTATGTTCCAGTGGAAGCTGCTGTGGGCGGCCGTTCTGGTGGCCGTGCTCTCCACGGGTCATGCAGATGCAAACCGTGAGAGAAGCAAACGTGCAATAGAGAACAGCCCCCAATTTCAAGGTTATGTCTATGAACCACCTTTAAAACCTTTCACTTTGCCCTCTGAGTAAGTGATCGAGAAATCTTTTAATATTTTTGTGATATAATTATATTAAAAAGATTTATTCTTACAAGACATTTTATTACATTGACTAAACAACATTTATGTAATTATAAATATTTCTTATCTAATACATATAAGTTATAATTATGTTAACAGAGGGTCACGAACAGATATAGTAACATTGAGACCGACGACGTTTACCATACCGCCCAGAACGCCACCCCATACGGATGGATATACATATACATCCCCAATAATTCCGTTCTCAACACCGCCAAGAACACCGCCGCCACCGCCACCGCCACCGCCAAGAACACCGTCGCCACCGCCAAGAACACCAC